ATATATATATATATATATATATATATATATATATATATATATATATATATATAACAAAAAGTTTGCAAAAAATAAGTGGTTTCAAATTGTAAGCATTGAGACAACCATATATTACACTTGATGAGGCCATTATCCTAACAAAAAAACCACTTACCCTTTAATATAATTTATAGTAAATATCTATATAGTTATAAGCGATTATATTTTCCATTCTATTTTAGTCACTTAACTACACTTTTAACCACTTAAAGGAGTCTCGTTTACAACCTCCATAAGTCCTATTCCTAACTTAGCCCCGTGAATAACATTTATACTACTCAACCTTTACATTTGGTCTAAATGCTCTACTGTTTAATCCTACGACAAACACCCAAAAGTACCATTAATATATCAACCCATTATGCTAAAGTCATATTTATTCACCTTTGTTTCATTAGTAGTCCAAGACCACCTATACCAAAATCCTCCCATGTGTCAGTCCTTCTTATATACCTTTCTAAAGATTTATTCATTGATTGCTTCCTACTCATTCTTCAAGCACTTCATTCGTGTAAGCAACCAAAAGAAATAATTTGAGAGACAATTCATAAGGTTCAAATATAAAAGGAAATAGTTTATGAACAAAAGTACACCCTTTTTTTTGTAAGCCACAAATTTTTCCTTTCCAATTTGCCAGCGTACCTCGTCTATCTGACCAACACTGATTTGGCTTTTGCTAAGTTTCCTTGCTAAAGTTCCCACCTATTGTATTAGCTCCTACTTAGTCCTACTTGGTTTCAGCTATTCACTGCATGAGTAACGGAGTGTTAGCCATCCATTCACAGATTCCCAAATCTCTCCTAATCCCCCTCCTCGGGTTAGACTGGACTTAAGGTTCGGCTACACTTTCCGCAAGCACAAACAGCCAAGCACACCAAGCCTTCAGGTTCCTAACATCCCTTAGTACAATAAGACTTTATCATGGGACCCTCTAAATCCCAAGCCTTAGGTGCAATACTTACTTCGGGACATCGGGGCGAAACACCATGGCTTAACAGCCCGTTATGGGTACCTTTACCCCCCCACTTCTATCCCGAAGGGAAGGCCCAAGCCCCTAGGAAGGGTGAAGACCAATGAGCCACAAGGTACTCAAGTGGGGCACCACTTCACATGAGCCAGGAGCACTATAGTCAATTTTCCTTTCGGGAGTGGGAGTTGCTCTTGAGCACTTCCTTGGGTGACCCCTCCGGCACCACCCAAGTCCATGCTCCCTCCCACCCAAGGCCCCTTGGCCCTAGTCTCAACCTCAAGTCAGTTTAGAAACACCACTAGAGAGTTCTTTCAAGACTGGTTTCTGAACCTCACTATCCCTACTATACTTTTGGAACCCCCTGCACCCCCCCCCCCCCCCCAAGGAGACGCATGCTTTGGGCTTTCACCCTTTGACCTGTATTAGTACTCAGACTCTTAGTACTCAGACTCGGTTTCGGACTCGATCTTGGACTCGATCTCAGACCCAACTTCAGACTTGGTCTCGGAATCGATCTCAGACTCGACTTCGGACTCGACCTCGGACTTGGTCTCGGACCCGATTCAGATTTCGAACTCTGTCTCGAACTCAGTCTCCGATTCGGCCTCGGACTCGGACGGAATAGTCTTGAGATATTTAGGGTTAATCATCCTTGGGTTTGAATAGTATTAAACTAAGTGACCTTTCGGAAAGTCTAAATTAAGAAGCATACATTTGGTATTAGAGCAGTTTCAAGTTCAACTCTATTGATTAAGTAAGGGAATTACATCATATGTTAAAATTGATATCTAGTAGGTCTAGTTTGCTTTGACTGGGCTCAACCCAAAGAGCAAGGTGTCAAGAAAGTGGGGCTTTTAGAGGAGCTATAACTCTCAATTTTTGTTCACAAGAGTATAAATTTGTAAGGAAGTGTGGTAAATTATAATTTACCAAAATGAACAATTTGAAAGACAATATATAAAAGTTTAAATATAGAAGGAAATGACCCATGAACTAAAGTGCACCCTTTTTATCAATTGATTAAGGGTTTTTGGATACTTAAGGTTAAGTGTCTTTCGGTTTGAATTGTATTAAGTTGGATGACCTCTCGGGAAGTCTAAATCGAAGAACTTACAATTCGGAGTTTCAATTTTAGTTTTGACTTTTCGAATTAGAGTTTTTAGTCCAAACATGTTACACTCATTAGACTTCTACATCAATTACTACCATATGGCACAATTTCGGCTCCACTTTGGAGCTTAAGGATTTGTGTCTTATAATGGTATTTAACATGGTATTCAACTATTATATGTGATTTCTTTGTAGAGTATTATAAAAAATACTGATATAACTACAATGTTGTATACTAAATTTCATATTGTAGTCTTAGTAGAGAAATTAGCCACACCTTTGATAAATTCAACAACAAATATTTATATATTTTTCAATACGGTTATAAACTAAAGATTTTTATTTTGTGTAGGTTACTACGAAAGGCAATAAAACCACCACAATGTCTTAAATGAAAATTATCCCATAGCCAAAGAAACTAAAGGCTATTAGAGTTGACTTTAAGGTAAATTATCATATAAACATATTTTACTATGTAGTTACTCTATAAGTTCATATGAACAAACTCTAGAAGCAATATTAAAATTAAGGCTAATGTTATGTAAAAACCATAATAATCTAATTTTATAGTAAAGAATAAGGTGAATAAACATTTTTTTCATTGAATACATTCAAACTAATTTTTATTGTAGCATAATGAAAAATAAGGGGTGACAACTTTAAAGCCCCCACTAAACAAGCCTAAATACTCTATGGTGAATATTTTAGTTTTTGTTTGAGATATAGTTATGATTAATTTAGTTCTTTTATAAGAGGCCAAACTTAAGAAGTTAAACATAAATATTTTTAAATGCATTGTGAATTTACTCTGTAAAAAGAAATTTACCCTTCAAAACTTCAAAAAGTTTTGTAAGATGGAAGATAAAATTTATCATTTACCTATTGTTGATGTACTTTAAATGTTGGGTTGGTATCTTTAGAAACATGGGTGACGAATACTTAAGATGAGATTACATTGATCATTTAGAAAGCTGAAAGATTTAATGAGATATATGAAAATATATAAGAACTATTCAGTTACATCAAATCGCAAATGCATGTAAAACTCTAGGAAAAATTATAAGACTATTTTTCTAAACTACATGTGAAACTATATTTTTAATTGTATAATTAACTATATAATTACCATATATTAAACACATATATATTTATTTCTCAAAAACTATACAAATCCTAGATATTTTACCATAAAAATATTTTATGTAGTATTTGATGAAAAAAGTAGAGTAACATCTTTATAAAAACCATAGAAAACACTATACTAAAAAAAATTCGTCACGCAAATACTTAGACTATATATAATAAAATTATAAAACCATTAGAAAATTATTTTGAATAAACCATAGTTTTTCCGATAAAAAGTTTTCATATTAATTTCTCTCATCAAATGTTTCATTAAAATTTTGGAAAACCACATTATTTGGCTTGCTGTGGGTTATTGGACCATATTAAGTACAAGCTTAACTTGGTCAATAGGTTCATATGGACAATATAATTGGCAACATGCACATGTCTCTCAGCCATCCAACCGACCATGATACTTGAGGAGGGAGTCATGTTAGGTCTTTATGTATGGTATAAGTATATACTATAGAGACACAAACAAGATTAGCTTGGCTAATCTACATTGCCAACCACTGATTGTCTATATGAGGCACCAATAATCTCTCTTATAATATATTTATTTTAAGTGTCCACATAAACTAGGAGGGGAGATTATGCTACTGGAGACAAAGTAGCATTCGAGCAAACAAAAAGTTTCCAAACACTATGCAGTATACCTTTTAAGATGATTATAATCTAGCAGAGCCCGGGCAGAGATCCCCACTGGCAGAAGTACTTCAAGTTTGTGTTTGGGAAGCTTAGGAAGACAAAAGTAGCTTAGCCCGGGACAACAATCTTCTACCCATTAGGCTTTTCCATCTGGAAAAAGAGATGGAGCGAACCACCAGCAATGATAACACTCTGGCACCAACCAGCGCGTGATTAAGCCTTTCACGAGGCTCGGAGCCATCACATTTCCTCCATTGACATATTTGCAAGCAGTGAGTAAGGTGCTGAATCTTGTCTATCAGAAGTAGCAGCAAGCAAAGCAACTCGTTGGCCTCGTTGGATATCACTCTGGAGCCTACAAGCTCCAAGCAAGCTTGTCCACGCGACACTATCTGCCGAGTTCGACAGGCTCGCAATCAGTTCCTCGGCGTAGCTCAGCTCTCCAGATCTTGCAATGATATCTGCCATGAAACCATAGAGCTCATAACTTGGGCTCAAGCCATGGTCCTCCACCATCGCCACTAAGTGCTCGCGAGCCTCTGCCACCTTTCCACCATAGCTGCAAGCGGTGAGAACCGCAAATGCAGTGAGCTCGTCAGGCTTGATGCCATCAAGCACCATGAGCTGGAAGAAATGAAATGAATCTTCCATTAGACCATTCTGGGCATACGCCTGGATCATAGAATTCCATGTTATCAAGTTTCGCTCTTGCGTTATCGAATCAAAAATATGCCTCGCGTGGCTGACCTTGCCAACCTCTGCATAAGCCGCCATCATGGCATTCAATGTGACAATGCTGGCCACTGGTATAGCAGAAAATATTCTTTGAGCCGCATCAAGTTCACCCTTTTGAGCATATGTGGTGAGGACAATGTTCCAGGAAGTAATATCTTGCTGGGGCATTCTTTCAAAAATCTCCAGTGCTTGACTTGTGTCTCCAGCTTGAGCGTGCGCTAACATCAGAGCATTGCACGTAACGGAATTCCGACATGGCATCTCGTTAAACAGTTTTCTAGATTCTTCTAGATGCCCATATTGGGCATTTGCCGAGACCATTACATTCCAGCTAACCACGTCCCTGACTGGCGCTTTTAAGAATATCTCCCTGCCCTGTTCAAAGTGACCGTTTAGTGAATAAGCCGATAGTAGTGTGTTCCACGAAACCATGTCGCGATAAACAGCGTCATTAAACAAAGCTCTAGCAGTAAGAACATGCCCGGACGCGGCATATGCTGTTACCATAGCGGTCCAGGATATAACATCCTGATATGGCATCTTATCAAAAGCGTACTTAGCTTGATCAACCTGGCCAGTTTGTGTGTAAGCTACTATTATCGCGTTCCAGGTGACTATGTTGTGCTCGGCCATGGTGTCAAAGAGCGAGCGCGCTTCGTCGAGATAGCCATGGCTGCTGTAAGCGGTGATCATGGCCGTCCACGTCACGACGCTGTGCTGGGGCGCGCGGGCCAGAGCGATCCTGGCCGTCGACAGCTCCCCATTGAGCGTGCAGCTATGGAAGAAGAAGACGTTCCAAGACACCATGTCTCGCTCGGGCATCCCCTCAAACAGCTCTTTCGCGCTGGCGCAATCCCCATCCTCGGCAACTGCGGTCATGAGCGCGTTCCACGACACGACGTTCCACTGCGGGAACCGATCAAACAAGAGCCTGGCCTGATCCAAATGCCCCAGATCGCACAGCCCTTGCAGCATCGTGTTCCACAGCACCACATCGCCACTGCTGCTGCTGGGCACTGCCGGATCCGCGAAGAACATGGCCATGGCGGGCTGGAGCTGGCCATTGCGGAGAAACGCGCTGAGCATCATCGTCTTGGAGAAGCAATTGGGCGCCTGGATGCCATCGTAGATGCTCTTGGCGGCCTGGGCGTTGCCACACTTGCCATACATCTCGATGAGCTTGTTGGCGAGGTAGCGATTCTTGGCGTGGCTGCTGCCGGCAATCTCGCGGTGGATGGACGCGCCCCGAGCCAGCAGCCTGCCGTCGGTGCATCGCTTGATCTCCTCCGCGATGGCGTTGATCTCCGACCGGATCCAGCTCCATTCTTGGTGTGACGCCGCCAAGGCAATTGATCGCAGCACCGGCATTTACAAACCATTTTCACATATGAAGAGCCAAGAGCCCTTACTTGCTTTGGGATGGCTTTATAATATGCTCACAAATGCCCAATATGGGCATTTTGGCAATGGCGTGTGATTTAGCTGCGTCTGCCCGAAAAGGGCATGCCAAGGAGGCGGATTTTGGCAATGGAGGGACAAGACTTGTTGCTACAGTGCGGCTGTTAGAGAATGAAGAAGAACGAGGTCCAACAAAGGAAATTCTCGCTGCTTTGGAATTTATGGCGACATTGGAGCAAGGAGCACACTGCCTCGGCCACTTAAAGGAAAAGGTGATCGATCAAGCTCTCTTTTTTTATAATGTCACTGGTCCATGAAAGTCTCGCTTTTGTGCGATGGCCAGCCAGTTCCTGCCATCAAGTTTATAAAGGAAGATTGCGACGGCGAGTAGAAAAGATTGACAAACACATCAGTAAGCTTCTCGTTTGCTTTTGTTTGCCGGAAAATGTGAGCTCTTGGTTTCATGTAAAGCCAGGCTCTCTTTTCTGTCCTCGCATTCATGGTCGTCTTCAAGCGCTATCACCGTTTTATAACCCAAAGCTCGACTCTCCGGCTTCTCCATTCGATCCGGAGCAATATGTCGTTCCTGACGCTGCTCCTCCTCCTCTTCTTCACTTCAGGTGAGTTTTATCGCTCGAGATCTCTCATGTTCCTCAAAGCTCGTCCTTGCTGAAGCTCATGGAGTAACTTTCACGCTCAACAATTCGTGCTCCTTCACTGTATGGCCTGGCTGGTTGAATGGCGATGGAGAGTCCGTTCTCGAAGGTGGCTACAAGCTCGACCCATCCCACTCCGTCCAGCTCTCAATCCCTTCGGGCTGGGGTGGCCGATTCTGGGGACGAACCGGCTGCCAGTTTGATAGCAGCAACCGCGGGAGCTGCGAGACCGGAGACTGTGGCAACGGGCTCTACTGCAAAGGCTCCTCCGGCGCCACTCCCGTCACCCTCGTCGAGATAAAGCTCAATGGCTTCTCCAGCAAGGATTTCTACGACGTTTCTCTTGTCGACGGCTACAATCTCCCAGTGAGGATGTATCCGCTCTCTTCCGGATGCACCAACGTAGGCTGCCACAGCGATGTCAACGCGGTCTGTCCCCAGGAGCTCCAAGTTCGCAACAGTGGCGGGCATGTCGTCGCTTGCAAGAGCGCTTGCGAGGCCTTCCAGACGGACGCCTTCTGCTGTAGAGGGAACCATAGCACTCCCCAGACTTGCTCCCCAACTCTCTACTCGAGGCTCTTCAAGAACGACTGTCCCCAGGCGTATAGCTACGCTTACGACGATCAGACCAGCACTTTCACTTGCACTTCTGGTGGCGGATATGTCATCCAGTTTTGTCCGCCTGGAAGCTTTACAAAGTCTCGGCAACACCACGGGAGAGCTCGGGGACACAGAAGAATCCGGAGCTGAAACAACAACGTAATTAAGAAAGAATTTTTCTCTACCGGAAGTTTTAAATAAAAATGACAAATAAAGAGAAGTAAATCATCATCGGTTCCTATAAACATCAACCCAGCTCCAAGTGGAAAGGACTAGGATGAAGATGTCTACATATGCACAATCCATTTGTTGCCAAGAAAGGGACTTGGTGCTTAACAGAATTGATCTTCCTTGGAATTTTCCTCCTCTTCGCATGGATTGTGTCCTGCGCTACTATACATGCTCTCAAACTACTCCCAAGCGTCAATAGGAGCCAACCTCTTCGATTAAAGTTGATTTTCTTTCCAACAAGTTTAATTGTCATCCATCTTGATGCAAAGCAAGGCTGAGCTCTTTAGAACAAGAGTTATCTTTTCCATAAGAGGGTAAGCATGCAAAAAATAGTCTATAAATTTAGAGTAAACTTTTTGTAGTTTTGTGGCTTCTTTCATAGTTAGCTGGTAAAATTTAAAACCTGGCCAAGGTGGGCGAAACCACCGCAAGAGGTGTATTTTAATATATTCTTACTTCTTTTTTTTCACGATTGACACTGCAGCTCTGCCACGTCATCAATTAAGCGTTTGGTTTATGGAGTAAACAACCATAAATTAGCCGACATGCATTGGGCAATGCTAGCTCAAGCGAGACAGACTCCTGCTGTAGAGGCATCCTCAAACATGCGTAGGCACCAACGACTGTCCCCATATGCTTACAGCACTTCCGCTCAACTCTGGTAATCTTTTCTACAGCACAACAGAGGAAAGCTCAAGAAAAAAAACAGGAATTACCGCTCTATACTTATTGCAGCAAAGCGTTTTGATTCATTTGAGCCTCTCTCAGTGTCTCCGTCGGCACATAAGACAGGAACTCTTGAATAAGATCGCGGGCAGCCTGTGACAAATCATAAAAAAATTGTTTACAAGTTTTCTTCTTCTTCTTTTTTTTTTGGAAAAAGTAAAGCACCTTTGTGGACTGCAGACTGAATCGCACAAACTCAAGCCTGAGCAACAAAGACCAAAGTTGGGTATGAAACAAAACCGTAAAAAACGAGCTTTTGGCTTACTGGGCAGCCTCGGAAGGTTGGCCAATAGCATCGAAGTAATTGTTGTATTGAGCCTGTTGTGGCGTGACAAGAGAGCCAAGAGAGTCAGAGATGACGAGAAATAGTGTTGAAAATACCTGCTGGAGATAATCATAGATGGAGTAAGCTAGAGACGAGGCCTTGTCTGCAGCATCTCCATCAAGCCAAGCAGCAGCACTGAAATTTAGCAAGCAAGAGTAAGAACACATACCATTCAACTTGTGATGGATATGTTGATACCTTAGACAGTTATCTTTCCAGTCACCAGCTGATCTGTAGATTTGCTCTAATTGTGCAAGCACTGTCTTTGTATCTACAAAGAAGAACCATCAAGATGGAAAAAAAATAAAAATAAAAAAAATCAAATGAAAGATCAACCTGAAGTGGATGCTTCCAAGTCTATGAGCTGCTGTTTGAGCTGCATGATCCGCAAGACATAAAACACCAAAGGTTTTGGAGGCTTGATAAGCCCCGCTGGAGGCTTGAACTGAAACAAGAGAAAACTTTCATTTTACAGCAAGAGAGAAGGAAAAAAAAAAAAAACTTACAAAAGCAAGGCCGATTGCAACAACTGACAATCCAACACCGATCAAAAGACGTCTGTAAACGGTCGCATTCTCGTTTCCCTCGTCTTCTTCTTTTTTCTCTTGCGAATCTTCTTCCAACACTTCCTCTTCTTCTTGCAATTTGGCTTCTGTCAATCCCCACTCCTCGGGCTTCTCTCCCTCCCCTGTTCACTTGAAAGCGCCAGCTTTAAGAAACTTTAGCTCAAAACTCTTTTGCTTTCTTCTCACCTGGAACACTGAGAAGAGTTTCGCGGTAGCCAGTTCCATCCACTCGCCTATCAGGAACCGCGGGTTTTAGCTTGGCAAGATCAACCTCCTTTCTCTTCGCTAGCTCCTTCCTCAAAATCTGTGCTTCGGCTTGAGCAGCTGCGAGCTACATTTTTGTCGATAAACAATCCAATCCAATCCAATCGAAGTTGGAACCTTGCAATCGATTTCTTAGACATTACCTTTGCCGCGAGCTCCTCCTTGTCAACATCCGCTGCTTCGCCAGCACGAGCCAAGAATCTTCTGCGCGCTTTCACGATCGAGCTGGGGTTGACAAAGCAGAGAGCCCACCCATTCGTGGCCGCCATAGCTTCACTTCGCTGAAAAAAGAGAGATAGTTTGACACGTCACTGCCAAGTGTGCCTGCAGACGTGGCCCTTTAAGGTCTTCTCACAATTATCAGCCGCGGTAGCCCTCGCGCTATGGCGGCAGCGTCCGCCACAGTGACGCCGCCCATTCCTCGCAAGGATTCCCCCGATTCCACCGCGACTGGGAGCCGGATTGTCACGCGCCGCGCGGCGCTGGCGTCGCCGATTGCCGGGAGCAGCGTCAAAAGGGAAATGGGTGAGCAGCATCAAGAACTCCATAGCTCCCTCGCTCCTTCTTCTCATTCCTCTTCCTCTCACCCTAGAAAGATCTCGCCCCCTTCCAATGGCGCCACGATGATCGCCACCAGCAACGGCGCCGCCGCCGGCGGCGTGGACGAGATCTGGCTGACAATGCGCGAGGAGGCCCGCCGCGACGCCGAGGCCGAGCCCGCGCTGGCCAGCTACCTCTACTCCACCATCCTGGCGCACAGATCCCTGGAGAGAGCTCTGGCATTCCATCTGGGCAACAAGCTCTCGAGCTCCACGCTCCTCAGCACGCAGCTCTTCACCATGTTCGTCGACACTTTCATGGAGGACGCGGAGATGAGGGAGACGATCCGGGCCGACATAGCCGCCGTCCGCGAGCGCGATCCGGCCTGCGTCTCCTTCTCGCACTGCATGCTCAACTTCAAAGGATTCCTGGCGTGCCAGGCGCACCGAGTTTCACACCGGCTGTGGAACCAGGGACGCCAGTCGCTAGCTCTCGCGCTCCAGAGCCGGGTGTCCGAGGTGTTCCATGTAGACATCCATCCCGCCGCCAAGATTGGGCGAGGCGTGCTCTTCGACCACGCTACCGGGCTCGTGGTTGGCGAGACCGCCACCATTGGCAACAACGTTTCTATCCTACACAATGTGACGCTGGGCGGGACTGGCGCCATGGGTGGTGATCGCCACCCAAAGATTTGTGACGGGGTGTTGATCGGGGCCGGGGCGATCATCCTGGGGCCCGTGAGGATTGGCGAGGGAGCCAAGATTGGAGCTGGGTCGGTCGTGTTGATCGAGGTTCCTCCGCACACAACTGCTGTGGGGAATCCGGCCAGGCTTGTGGGAGGGAAGCTCAAGCCCACCAAGCTCAAGGACATTCCCAGTGAGACTATGGATCACACTTCTTTCATCTCCTCGTGGTCTGATTATGTCATTTAGAGAACTCCTGTAGAAAGTACCAAAGAATATAGATATTCTTGTTATTAAAAGCTTCAACAACAAAGTTGTTATTTTTTAAGAATAAGGAAGAGTTGCTGAACTTTCTGGGCTGCTGGATCTAGTCAATTGGAGAACTTTCTGGGCTGCCGGATCCAATCAATTGCAGCTGTCTGATGGGGGGTAACTGTAAAGCTGTTATTTCCTTAACCACATGTTTGCGAATAATCACGCTGCATGGGGTGGGAGAGGAAGGCACAGTGATGCGTGTTACATGCAAATGTGTTGACTATGACTGTGGCATCGAGATCGTTTGAGCAACAATAGCAACCCAAGGGTGCGAGGAAGATCTAACGACTAAAGTAGGACTGATCATCCTCCTAGCAGTGGAGCGAGGTGTCATAACATCTGAATGTGCCACTTGACTAGAATGTAGTGTTCATCGGCCATGGCAACAAGATCTTCAGCATGGAGATGTTTAAGATCTTCAGGCAGGTGCTGGATTTCATGACAATGTGCCAATTAGGAAGAGTTTTAGATGTGGTGACCAGGTATCTTTCTCTCTTTTTCTTTTTATCCATTTTGGCAATGAATGCAAGGGCATTTTGCACTACTCCAGGTACTAGGCTCACCCAGCAGTAGCATTGCTCGAGCAAGAGGGCTGTAGAGAGATTGGTGATCAAGCAGCCAAAGAAAAACTATAACCAGGTTACACTTTTCAAGATCGTCTCCCAAGATCACTAGGAGCTTTTCAGGAAGCAATGTGGAGTATCATCAAGAAATCCATCAAGAAAAGGGAATTTTTGCTAAGAAACCATTTGAACTAAAGAACATACATAGCTGTGGTTTTTGCTAGTGTGATTGCTCGCAACTTCCACATTTGCAGCCGATGCTCTCAAGACATGCTCCTGTCTTTTGAAAGAATGCCAGTAATTTTATTCTTCTCGTTTGTCCTTCAAGAAGGATGAGTGTTTTTCTCTCTCTCTAGATTGGAGCTCGCTCAATGCATTGTAGATCCTTTGTGCTTGCAAACTTGTAACAATCGACCTGACAAGACCAAGTGCAAAGTAAATCTTGAGATTTTGTGTAAAACTTCTTTTGGATCAATTAATCATTGTGATTCATGAATACTTTCAAATAAAATGTGGAGACATTTTTGAGAACAAGGTGGTGGACGAATTCAACAATTGCACAGTGAGCCACAAGATGAGGGGCATTTCCCAGTCCCGCCACCTTAGGGCTCGCAAGTGGCAAGAATACTAAGATAATGTATGCAGTATTTGATTAAGCAGTAATATTTTAAAATCTTTTTCCTAACTGTAAATATAGTTTATTAGTAAATAATACTATGGAATTATATCATATATATATATTTACAAAAGATTTTGTTAGTAATTATTTTCTTTACTGGATCTGGGTAGTAATATATTAATGTTCCTAAAAACTTATTGTTTTATATTCTAAGTAAACTGCATAATTAAGTAATGTCTTGCTAATAAAAATGAGTAATAATTATTCTTAGTAATTATTCTCTTAATATAAGTTTATCCCAAATACAAATATAAGAATTTTATATAAACTTTTTTCTGTGTCGGGTATTTTTCTAAATATATTCATATTTCCAAATAATAATTTTTATCTAATATTTTTATTAATGAATATTTATTCTTACTTTTCTCTAGGAATAGATTTTGTTCTAAATATTTATATTATCAAGTTTACAAGAATTGACTTTTGTGTTCATCTAACATTTGCTGGGCATAATTCCCTTAATTCTTCTTTCAAAGTGGAATACAATATTTTTTTTTGGATACTATTCCACTTTTAGTTTTTAATATAACAAAATTATAACAATCAAAATAGTATTTTAACTTTTGATTTTAGTATCAAATAGGTTAAGCATTGCAAGTTTAGTAATTTATAAATGGATGTTATTATCTAGGCCTTGCACTTGGATTAATTTTTTAGCAGAATTTTCTTTAAATTAATAACGATTTCCCCTTGAGTTTTATCTTCTATTGCTTCTTTCCACTTTCTTTTATTCCACATAGTAGACATTCAATTTATCAGACAATTAATAGTAGGGAGGAATGGCATAAATGGAAAGAGAAAAAGTGGGATGTGTGTTTATTGCATAGAGATAATTGAGACAATCGTGCAAGTTGCAAGCTAAAGTTGAGGGAGATACTCCCTACGCCAATAGGCATGAACAGTCTAAACTAGGATTGATCTATGTGGTGGTAGGTCTTAAACTTGAGATTTTCTTACTGCTTGATAAAATATCAGCTCTTGGAATCTTTAATTCTGCCACCTTGCTAATTGCCACCTCATCTTCCAGATCATCTCACCAAATTGCCACATGAATAAACCTTATTCAGACTATAGCTCCAGCTTTCTCTGGCATGGTGGAATGATCACTTATCCTATGCAAGTTAACTAGTAAAAACAACTTTAATGCATGGTTTCATTCTAATATAGCTTTGTGGTACCATTTTTGCAACCACTGGATGAAAGGGGAAACCTTGAAAAGTCCTTGCACTTCCTGGCACTGGGCAGTATGCTCCCATGAACATGAACCTAACAATGCCCATCCCACTCAAATAGATGACATACAATTCTTGAGAAACGGCTGCAAAAACTTGCATTTTCTCTTGCTTTATTGCTGCTTAGGCCAATACAAATATAATAGGAGGCTGTAGTAGGAGATATTCCACTAGGTAAATATTCTAGGAGTATCTACTACGCTTTTGTGCTGGCAGATATATTGAAGGGAGAAGGCAAGACTTTGACATAGAGCTCCATATTCTCAAATTGATTTGGTGTTGCATGGAACTTTTATTAGAATCTTTCATTGTTTGGCTATAATATATCCCTTCATGACCGCAATTCAAGCAATCTTTGACTTATCATTTGTCATATTAACTATTATGACAAGTGATCATAACTATCGTCCTAGTCTCCACAGCTCGTTACCTTAGTCCCTACTGCTCGTCCTTGATATGGTCTGGAGTTTAAGATGGTTTCCATCATTTAGTTTACAATCTCCTGTTCTGCGATCTTCATTTCCCAAAAGGTGACACATTGCCTTCAAGGATGACATGCACATCACCCGCCCATGGGATACCTCGTTGACGAGGTTGGGCAAATCTAAACTCACTTAACATGTCTGGCAGTGGTGTGAGAAGCAACCAGCTGGACTTGGTTTATCATCGCATTGTATCGTGTTTCTCTTGTCAACCTTGCGAAGTGCCGCGTACCATGTTACCTGAGAAGCCACCATTCCCTCATGTATAAGTGAGTGAGCGCAAGTTTCCTTGCCCCAGGTGTGTGTGTGATTACCAGAGACGAGTGTCAAAATGACAAACTGTAAGCAAGCACGTTAATTTATACTTCATGAGGCAAAGTAAATCATCAGACTACTGGGTTGGGCGCTTAAAGCATTGCTCAAATACAAGAGATTTATCTGGTGCAAGGAAGCTTCACAAGGAAATCCTATCGACAAACATTATTCTAGGCACTTACATCAGAAATTTACTTGTACAGATGTTTGGTAAGTGTGGCAGTGTTACTGAAGCGTACGATTGTTTTAACAGCACTCCTCAGCGAAATGTCTATTCGTGGTGCCTCATGCTTGGAGCATATACCCAGAACGGGCTTATCAACCAAGCCCAACAAATGTTTGATATAATGCCAGCCAGGGATGAGGTAGCACACACAATATTGCTTACATGCTACGCTCAGAGAGGTTGTCTAAGAAAATCGCAAGAGCTCTTTGATGTCATGGCGGATCAAAGTGTTGTTGCTTGGAACGCTATAACTTCAGCTTATGCCCAAAACGGGCATTTGGAAGCTGCCAAGGAAATGTTTGACAGGATGCCTGTTCGCAACGAGAGCTCGTGGAACGGGCTCATGCAAGCTTATGCCGAAAATGGTGATACGAAAATAGTAAGGGAATTGTTTGAGCAAATGACCAAACGGAATGAGCTCTCGTGGAACACAATGCTTTCGGCATATGCCCAAACAGGTGACTTTGCTGAATTTTTCGACCGGATGCCGTCTTACACGGTCGTTTCTTTCAACACTGTGTTGCTGGCTTACACTGAGAATGGATCTCTAAGTCTTGCAAAGAGAGTTTTTGAGACAATGTCGCAGAAGACAATCGTGTCATGGACAACGCTGCTCACGGCACTGGCCAAGAGCGGCGAGATCGAGCAAGCAAAGATGGTATTTGAGAGAATGTCGGGGCACGACGTTGTAAGTTGCAGCTCAGTGATCCAGATTTACGGCCAGCATGGATTTCTCAGAGCTGCTCAAGACGTGTTTGACCGGATGCACGACCGCAATGACCAGACATGGACAGCGATTCTCACAGCCTACGCAGCCAGCGGAGATCTAAAAGCTTGTGAGGCATTTTTCAAGGAGATACCAAATCCGGACGCGTTTTCTAGGACAGTGATGATGCAAGTATATGCTCAATCCGGGGATTTGGAGCGAGCAACAAGGCTGTTTCTATCGCTGGAGAGGAAAGACTCCGTGGCTTGGAATGTGATCATCCAGGCTTATGCCCAGAACGGGCATGTCGAGGAAGCTAGAACCATGCTCGAGAAAATGACCGCAGAAGTGGACGTGGTATCTTGGACAGCGTTGGTGTCTGGGTATGCCCAAAACGGGCAACTGAGCAAAGCAAAGGATGTTTTTGACAAAATGCCACAGTGGAGTGAAATCTCCTTGACGGCCATGGCTGTCGCATATGCCCAGAACGGGCATATCGCAGAAGCAAGAGATATGTTCGAGCGTGGACCTATTGAATCCACTGCCCCATGGTCTGCGATGATCACAACATACGCCCAAAACGGGCATCATACTCAAGCTCTCGAGCTTTCGTTGGCAATGGAGCTTCAGGGTGTGATGCCGGATGCAATCGCCTTTCTGGGAGTGCTCGTTGCTTGCAACCATGCGGGTGATCTACAAAGGGGATTCCAGAGCTTTGTGGCTATGGTGGAGCGGGGCATCAGAGTGACTGCTCAACACTACTGCTGCGTGGCAGACATGCTTGGGCGTTTGGGACGAGTGGGAGATGCCCACGAACTTATCCAGTGTATGCCATTTGTGCCCGACGATGCGACATGGACAAGCTTTGCTGGGTCATGTAAACTGCATCTACATACATTAGACTCTGGATCACAGAGTGTTTTAGAACCAATGTTGTGGAGAGATTCTTCTCCCTATGTGTTGATCTCGCATGCATGTCTTGGAAGATAAGTGTCGAGTTTGTCAGGGACACAGTTTTTATATTATGCCTATCATCAAAGTAAATACTGACATAGTTCTAATCTGATGCTTGTTTGGACGTACTAACAATTAGGCCAGTCTATTTTGGGCGTGCCTCAAAGTCAGTCGGCAATACATGCTTGGGTAGAATATACCTGACCTTGTTGAGCGGCTCACACTTTGCTAACAGGGTGACTGTGTGAGCAGGGGAGGTAATCTTGCCCGAGTTGAAGCCCGGCAAACGAGCCAGAGGCATCCTCGTCATCACACGCACAACACAAGCACGGTTTAGCCAATGCCAGTTTGTGTGATATGTGTGACGCATTGATAGCCAAAGGAGTTTAGGGTTTAGGGTTTAAGGTCTACACAGAGTGGACTTTGATTGTTCATCACAAAGCTTGCATCTGCGATTGGACTGAGCGTGAGTACCTGGTGGAAGGGAATGGAAGGAATGAGTGACATGTCAGATGCGGGAAGTTGTAGTAGACTGGGAGCTTCGACTTCGCCAACCATCCAAAAGCTGGTTCTTTTTGGCAGCCTTGAGGAGGAGTTCCACGGCTTGGCCGACTGGTAAGAAAACCATAGCTGGACCATTGGGATACGGTAATACAACAGTCCCTCCCACATCCCTGCCCCAAATGTACTCCCTTGACACATTTTGAGTATGGAGCCTGTATGACGCGCTCCAATTGTGGCCCAGTTCGGCTTGGTAATGAGAGGCCACCTTGTCCCTCACTTTGCTTAACTGCTGCTTGCCGTGAGCACTTCTGCCAGCCTTGATATGCTTTCGAAGGTGCTGCAGCAACAAGCTGGTTGCAGGGACCTATGGGTCAAAGGTGGCACAATGACACAATAATAAATGCAAGTGAGTTTACAAGCTTACCACATGGCAAGGAGGCATCAGGAAGACGAAATCCGTGTGCAAGATGCTGTCCAGAACAGAGCGCCAGTCACCTGCAATGAGAAAGCAGAGAGGAATCGGATGACAAGAGAAGAAGTTGACTCACCCCAGAGTGTGTCCAGACAATGAGTTAGGGTCGCACTCTGCCAATTTCACCTCGAGGGAGGTGCCAAACTCAGAGAAAGCACGAAGCTTGGGGCCGTCATAGCCACTCCCGTCCGGACAACGGGCACAATCCTTGAAGCGACTGGCATGCTGGAGACGGCGAGACAAAGTAGAGGAGAGCAACAAGCTTGAAGAGGTCGTCGTCAGTGACGAACATAGAGCCGAGGCAAGAACCCATGAAGTGTCCGGCAACACAAGCAATTGCCACAGCGTGCGACTTCTCCTCCGCCTTTTCTCTCGATATATGATTTAGGGTTAAAACAACTTCTTAAGTTTGCAAGGGTGCGAGTTCAAATCCCACTCGTGACGTTGAATAAAAAATGCCAAGTGGCACGATAAACCCTAGCTAGCATTTTTTCCTTAAGAGCTATGGCGCCGGCGATCCCTTCCAGGCTTCTCTACATCGGAGGGCAATGGCGAGCTCCGGATCTGGGCGGACAGATAGCGGTCATCAATCCAGCGACGGAAGATACCATAGGTGAGAATTGCGAGTTTCTCCTTGCGCTCATGGATGGAATTTCTAGGCTACATTCCCGCTGCCACGGCCGCCGATGTGGATCTCGCTGTCAAGGCCGCTAGGGAGGCGTTTACCAAAGACAATGGGAAATATTGGGCAAGAACTACGGGGAAGTACCGGGCAAAGTTTTTGCGAGCCATTGCTGCCGAGGTAAGTGATGATATGATGGCTTTCGCCTCTCTTGCGCTAACTTTTTTTTTGTGCTGTTCTAGGTGACTGCGAGGAAATCTGAGTTGGCTGAGCTCGAGGCGATGGATTGTGGAAAACCCCTCGACGAAGCAGCATGGGATATGGTAAGACTTTCGGCTTTTCGAGTTGATGCTTTGGAATTTATCCAAGTTTTTTCTAGGACGATGTTGCGGGATGTTTCGACTACTATGCTGGTCTGGCCGAAGGTTTGGATGCAAAGGGGCACCTGTCCGTAGAGCTTCCAATGGATACATTCAAGACTAACGTCTTAAAAGAACCGATTGGTGTTGTCGGTCTTATAACTCCATGGTTAGATCTCGCACCTTTTTTTTCTTTTTCTTATGCAATCCTTGACAAGATGGTTCTGCAGGAATTATCCTTTACTTATGTCAACTTGGAAGGTTGCACCAGCTCTTGCAGCAGGCTGTACTGCCATTCTTAAACCATCAGAGCTTGCATCAGTGTAAGATCGTGAAAATTTTCTTACTTCCCTTGCACAACGAGTTCTACTGTTTGTCGTGCCAGTACCTGCTTGGAACTTGCGTCAATCGCCGCGAAGGTCGGGCTTCCTGCTGGTGTACTGAATGTAGTTACTGGATTAGGGAAAGATGCCGGTGCGCCTCTGTCTAAGCATCCTGGTGTTGATAAGGTTGGCTTTAGTATGCTGATGTTTCATGCCTTACTTTTCCTTTTCTTTCTGTTACAGGTAGCATTCACAGGCAGTACAGCCACTGGAAAATCAATAATGGGAGCAGCTGCTGAAATAATCAAGGTGCTTCGATCTTTTCATACAATTCGGTTAGCTTTGTGTCTATCAACAGCCCGTGACGCTGGAACTGGGTGGGAAAAGTGCTATCATCGTTTTCGATGATGTGGATATTGAGAAAGGTACGTTATTGAACATTCAATGACATCTAATCCTGACGGGTGGAATCACACAGCTGTTGAATGGACAATGTTCGGAGTGTTTTGGACTAATGGTCAGATTTGCAGTGCGACATCAAGGCTGTTGCTCCAGGTAATATAATGCGCGGCTGATGGAAGAATTGCCTTACCACTGGCTGTGATGTAACAGGAAAATATCGCATCTGTGTTTTTGGAAAGACTGGCAGAGTGGACGAAAACGATAAAAATTTCAAACCCCTTGGAGCCGGGATGCAGACTTGGTCCAGTTGTGAGCGAAGGTCAGGTAGTGTTTTCTTCTTGTTCCTATCTTTGCCTTCTTTAGTTCATACGGTGTACATGTGAGTTCCAGTACAAGAAGGTCATGAAGTACATATCTACGGCACAAGAAGAAGGTGCTACGCTGCTGTGTGGTGGGAAACGCCCGGAGGTAAGCTTCATCAGTTTTGTGTAAAGCAAGCCGTTGATATTCATTGTCGTGTCTTGGCGTTCCAGCACTTGAGCAAAGGATATTTTGTTGAGCCGACAGTCTTTGCGAATGTCAGGCCCTCCTCTCAGATATGGAAAGAAGAAGTCTTTGGTCCGGTCCTTGCAGTTCGGACCTTCAGAACAGAAGAGGAAGCTATAAAGCTGGCCAACGATTCTGAGTAAGCCACATGGTTTTGAGAACTTGCTCAATCTGTCTGTTTGCTTGAAGGTATGGACTCGCAGGGGCCGTCATCTCGACAGACGAGGAGCGCTGCCAGCGTGTAGCAGAGGTACTTTTTTAGAAAAAACTTATCTCTTGTTGTTTTTTGCTTGTTTCTAAGCCTGGCCAAAACAGCTGTTGCAAGCGGGAATCGTATGGATCAATTGTGCTCAGCCGACCTTCACCCAGGCCCCGTGGGGTGGTACAAAACGCAGTGGCTTTGGACGGGAGCTGGGAGAATGGTGAGTGATATTTGTAGGGATTCTCACCACGTACATCGTTTTCATTGTTTGTCTTCCACTCACAGGGGTCTCGAGAACTATTTGTCCGTGAAGCAAGTTACCAAATACATATCAGAGGAACAGTGGGGTTGGTACCCCCGACCTTCGAAAATGTAAAGCTATCGAGGTACGCCAAGTTTTCTCGGGTTTTAAAAACGTTTTCTTTCCCGGACGAGCCACAGGATGTCTGCTCTAATGGCCTACATGTTATCCTGCAGCCGTAGTCCTCGACCCCGTAAGCGCGCTCTTCCTTAGCAAGATAGCTTTGCCCAGGAATAAATGGGTCGTTGAGACGAAAGTGATGCGAGCTCACAAGCTTTTCGCTTGTGGCAGTGTGTGTGTTTGTGTGTGTGCGTCCATACAGGCATTATTGGCGGCCTGTGGCCTCTGGCAAGCAGACTGGTCCATATCTTCCATCCAGTCCAGCCTTTATCTTGTAAGTAATCTATAGTTGTTTTTCCTTTCCGGATCATCTTTGTCAATTAGAGCTAGCTAACTTGTGATTCTTCTCTCTTCCAGGTTTGGTGTTTCTCCAAAGCGATGAAACTCGCTCGATCGCTCGCACGTTTAGTCTGTCCTGGGTATTGCGTCCTCTAGTCTCGTTTCTCATATTCTTGTTTTGTTCTTTGCTCTTGTCGGATTCAAGTCAAAGCTAGCTCGCTAGCTCGAGGACAAGCAATGCAAGGGAGCAAAGCTACTGGTAACCAATAATGACGTTTTTTCGCTGTTTGGCATTCTCGCATCGTAATTCTCCACTTTCAACTTTCCAGGAGGCAAAATGGAGGAGATAGCTACATAGCCTATGACTCGACCAGAACAAGGTAAAACATCTTTTTCTTTGTCTCTTGTTTGCTTGTCGTTCTCATCTTCCAGATTAAGCAGTAGAGCCGCTGAATCAGAAAACCCGTGGATGGTGGATTGACTCTAACAAAAAATCCAGCCTCCAGAGAGTTTTCGTGCTCACAATGATTCCAAACAGTGAAAGCGAGCAAGCCGGAAGAATGGCAGCGTTGGTATGTGGAACGGCGCGGTCTACTCATTTTTCATGATCTTGCGATCTCTCCTGCCTGCCAATGGCCGCTAAGCTGGCCTGCGAGGATCTTCGCTTCCATATTTTAGCGAGCAAAAAGATAAAGACGAAAAGAAAAGAGCCTTCCTCCTCGGATAGAAACTTGTCTGCCAGAGAAGTTCTCTCTTTCAACCTCACCTTTTCCACCACCGAGGCACACAAAGGACTTGGAATCAATCGTTCTTTCCCAGCGATCGAATTTTACAAGAAACGAAGATCGATCGATCAATCCAGATCGGGATTCCTTTGCGCGACGGCGGGTGGCGAGTGAGAAGAAGCGAGATGGAAAAGAGAAAAGAAGGAAATAAAGAAAGGAAGATCTGGCGCGCGGAGCGCCTCGTTTTCAGTTCTTCCAGAGCGGCGCCGATCTTTGGTGGGCAATTCAATGCAGATCTCACACCTCCTGGGAAACCCAAAACAAATCCCTCCTCCACTATCCCTCCTCGATCGCATTCTCGAGGAGGAAAAGAGAGAGAGAGGGAGGCCTCCCTCCCATAAAACCAAGAGATGGAAAGAGCGAGAGGAGGAAGAAGAACCCCACAAGGATCTATAAGATCTTTGCCTCGAGTTAGAGAGCGAGCATCAGTAGAGATCCACATTCTTGAAATCCGAGGAGGCGTGCTCGTCGCCCTGGACGAAGAAGATGGCGTGGAAGAGCTTGAGGAGCTCCAGCGCCCTCTTCTTTGCCCGTCCCGTGCAATCGCTCTGGAGTAGCAGTAGAAGCTGGCGGCGCGCCCCAGCTCTCATGGCGATCTGGACCACTTGGACGGGGCCCGACTGGCAAACCAGCAGCAACAGCCCCGTCGCGTGCTCGGTCGCCGGCCTCGAGTACCCGACCAGCAGCCGTACCGCGCAGTGCACCGCCGCGGTACTCTCGCATACCGCGCGGCGCCCCTGCTCCACGGTACACAGCTGCTCCAGTGTCGCCAGCGCGCGCTCGGTTGTCTCCAGCGCGCGGTCCTCGCCGGAGGAGGACGAGGAGGAGGATGGCGGCGAGGAGGCGGCGAGGAGGAGGTTGACGAGGATCTGGATCGCGCCTTCTTCCACGGCTGTGGATCGATTGGGCTTGTGCGAGCACGCGAGGTGGAGGAGCTTGACGAGGCCCTTCTTGGAGGAGGAGGAGGAATCGATGAGATCGAGCAGGCCGTGGAAGAATTGGGTGGATTGCCCGACCTCGACGCGCATCTCCTCCGTGGCCAGCAGCCGCTTGAGCAGCACCGCGGCGCTCATCCGCGACGCGAGGTCGATCTGGGCGCTGCCCAGGTGACACACGACGCACTGGAGCGCTCCCGATTCCGACAGCACCGCGCCGATCACCTCCCTGCTCGCGCCGCGGCACAGGAGCGCCAGCAGCGACATGATCTCCTCGCAGGGGCTGTCCTCGTGCCGCGCGGTAAACCCGTCCGGTGCCACGTGCAGCGCGGTACCGTGCTGTATGAACCCGTCCGGGGACCCGTACAGCGCGGTCCCGTGCTGTATGAGCTCGTCCGCCAGCATGGACGCCATGAGCAGCGCGCCGCCGGCTTCCACGATGCAAGAACACACCTTCTTGGCCTCGGGCGGCGTGGGCGACGATCCACACAGCTCCTCTTTCGCCATGGATTTGAGCGTCGCCACCGATTGCCTCACGTCCTGGCCCTTGGCGATCCGGCGGAGGAGGCCGAGCACTCGCTCGCGGCGGCCCAGATCCAGCGATTCCTGGGGCGAGAAATCGTGGTGGGCGAGGAGGAAGGGCGGAGGAGGAGGCGATGGAGGAGAAGGAGCAAACATGGCGCTGGCGGATTCCTCCTTGGAGCACCACGCCTCGATGAGCTGCCGGACGATGATGTTGGGGATGAGCGTGAGATCGTGGAGGTGGAGCATCGTGATGGGGCAGCTCCGGTGGCCATCGCGGATCCATTTCTCGATGCTGGGGCGATCATACGTCTGGCCCGTGCACACGATCACCGGGTCGCGCATGATCTCCAGCGAGATCGGGCACAGGAAGAGCGCTGGCGCCGCTTGATTCTGTCGCTGCCGCTGCTCCTCGCAATCCTCCTCTCCTCCTCCTCCTTCGTCTTCGTCCTCCATCGCCCTCCTCCTCGTCCTGGCTATGATCACTCCTCGCTCTTGCCTCATCTGCTCTCTCGATTTTCTCGATCGATCGGAAAGGATGTGCTACGAGCTCGAGGAATTGGTCCACATTGGCGGGGATGATTCGATTCCACCCATCTCCCAGGAGGAGTGGGAAAAAGAGAGAAAATGGATGGAACCTTTCTTCTTTCTATCCGCAAAGTTCTTGAGGCCTAGGTGGACATTCCATCGCGGAAGATCCAACCCCACTTTAAACGAGATTACGCGTAACCCTGCGTAATTAGCGGGGTAATGGGCCCCATCGCAGCCGTTATGCCCTCGCCGGCATCCAACGGCTGGCAGACGCCGATGCGCGGATATTCTCCCCATGTTCTTGGGGGGTTAGGGGTTTTGGGCATGGATCGCGATTTTGGAATGCGGCTGGCGCTCACCGCGGCGTCCGCGATCGCGGCGGAATCCGCGACGTTTCCGATCGACATCACCAAGACGCGCCTGCAGCTCCAAGGTGAGGGATCGTCGATCGCTCGTGGTTGTAATGCTGGTCACAGAGGGGCATTTGGCACTGTTTACGGGATCGCGAGGGAGGAGGGATTGCGCGGGCTCTACAGAGGATTGTCGCCCGCGCTGCTGAGGCACGTCTTTTACACCAGCATCCGGATCGTGAGTTACGAGCAACTGCGAAGCTTCTCTTCTTCCTCGGATCAAAATCAAGCTTTTTCGTCCCTGGCCGAGAAAGCAGTCATAGGTGGTGCTTCGGGAATCATTGGACAGGTATTCCTCGTTTCTTTAGCATTCTCGCTTACTTTTCTCGATAGAAGTTTTTGATACCTCCAGTAGCTCTCGAGAACGAAGCATTCAGTCACCTCTTCCGCGCTTTTGTCTATAGAGTTTCTTTCCATATTCTTTAGCGAAGCTCGCTCTCTCTTTCACTATAGACGCTCAGGCTCAGCTATGATCGTTCTTCCTTCTAGAAGCACCTCTCTGCAGTGCCTTTGGAGTAAACTAACGAGCTTTCTTCGTTTTCGATGCATGCAGGTGGTGGCGAGCCCCGCCGACCTTATAAAAGTGCGGATGCAAGCCGACGGGCGACTTGTGAAGCTCGGCCACGCTCCCAGGTACACAAGCGTCGCCGACGCTTTCCACAAAATAATGGCGAGCGAAGGCGTGCTTGGGCTGTGGAGGGGAGTAGGCCCCAACGCACAGCGCGCCTTTCTCGTCAACATGGGCGAGCTCGCTTGCTACGACCAGGCCAAGCACAAAATCATACAAAATGGCGTCTGTGGGGACAACGTTGTTGCGCACACTCTGGCGTCGCTGCTCTCGGGGCTCTCGGCCACGCTGCTCAGCTGCCCGGCCGACGTTGTCAAGACGAGGATGATGAACCAGGCCGGCCAGAGCTACAGGAGTTCGCTGGATTGCCTGGCCAAGACCGTGACATCCGAGGGCGTCACGGCCCTGTGGAAGGGATTCTTTCCGACTTGGGCTCGCCTCGGCCCCTGGCAATTTGTTTTCTGGGTGTCGTATGAGCAATTGCGTCGTTTTGCCGGTCTATCATCCTTTTAAAAAGTCCCCTTTTGTCCCGTTGAAAAGGTTGAAAAAAGGTGGCGGACTATGAAAAGGCTATATAAAGGTTGAAAAGGTGGCGGACTTTAAAAGGTTGGGTTGAGCTCTAGCCCTAAAAATAAGGACATGTTGGTTGTGGACGTTGACGCTATCAATGAGAAGGTGGCGGACATTGTTGCCTTTCGCGGACAAATGGACGAGGAGGTTGCTCGCGTGAGAAGGGATTTGCGATTGTCAACGCGCAAGGCGAACTTCTATCGCTGCAAGTTCTTGCGGCGCATAATCGAGGCGATGAAGCACATCGATTACATATCGTCGCAGTACGTCAAGCCCTTGGAGTCCGAGTACGAGGAGATTTACGACCCGGACGACGAGTTCCCGCAACTGGAAGTGAACGAGCTCTTCGCGGAAGTCCAGCGCTGCAAGGCCACGAATATAAAACTCAAGGAAAAGGAGGAGTCCCTGGTAATGCAGGAAGCGACGCTAAAGCAGGAGGAAGTGGATCTCATCAACGCACGAAACTGGTGGCTGGCCAAGAAGGAAGAGTATGAAACAAGCACAAGCAAGGCCAAGTTTGAGGTGGAGATGGAGCAAGGCATCCAGCAAATCACCCAGAAAGTCTGCAACTTTGACAGATACATAAGCTTCCCTGAAAACCCAAACCCAGTGAGTGACACAAAGATCTCAAGCAAATCAATCAATCAATCACATTATGCGTAGGATAAGTTACCTCTCACACGACGAGCTCGAGCTCTCTTCTCTCACTCGACTCCAGAAGTTGTGGCGGCTTTCGCAACCTTGACTTTGGCAGCTTCGTGCCTGGCCAGCTCCGGCGGCACCGGGTTCTTGGTCCGGACTAGCAGCTGCTTGAGATCGTAGAACACCTCGGAGTCATTGAGCGTCAGGAAGGTGGTGGCGGCGCCGCTCTTGCCCGCCCGCCCCGTCCGCCCAATGCGATGGATATACATCTCCACCGTGGACGGCATGTCGTAGTTGACGATGTGCCCGACGTCGGGGACGTCGATCCCGCGCCCCACCACGTCCGTCGCGATGAGGCAGCTCCGCCGCTTGCTCCGAAAGTCCTGGAAGTTGGTCTGCCGCTTCTGCTGCGTCTTGCCGCCGTGGATGGTCGCCACCTTGATCCCCATGTCGTGGAGCTGCTTCGACACCTTGTCCGCCTGCTTCTTGGTGTTGACGAACACGATCGTCGACATCTCGCCCAGCTCGTCCAGCAGCCGCCGCAGCCGCTTGGGTTTCTCCTCCTCGTCCACCATTATCACCTTCTGGCTGATGCGCTTGCTCATCTCCTCGATCGTCACCACCACCGGGTTCCTCAGGTACTTCTTGGCCAGCCTCTCCACCGCCGGCGGCATCGTCGCGCTGAACATGTACGTCGTCCGGTAGATCCTGTCCTCCAGCTCCACGTCCTCGCTCTCGGGCTTCATGTTGCTCGACGGCATCGCTTCCAAGGCGTCAATCACCTGTTCCTCGAAACCCAGCGCGATCATCCTGTCGCCCTCGTCCAGAACCACGTAGTTGCACTGGTGGAGCACCGCGTATCCCTGCTCCAGGCAGTGCAAGAGCCGTCCCGGAGTGGCAATGACGATCTCACACCCTTGCAGTAGCTTCGAGCTCTGCCCCCCGATGGCTTCTCCGGCGACGAGAGACAGCACGTTGATGTCCATATACTTCGCCAACTTCACGGTCTCCTCCTGGATCTGCTGCGCGAGCTCCGTGGTTGGAGCCATCACCAGCGCGTAAGGCCCCTCGATGGCTCTCTCCAAAGTCATCTTCGGAAGCCTGGACACGTACATGAGCATCGGTATCACGAAGGCCGCCGTCTTCCCGGAGCCAGTCCCGGCGATCCCAATAACATCTCTCTGCTGGAGTCCCAGTGGAATGGAAGCCATCTGGATGGGAGTAGGCTTCTTGTACCCGGCTTCTTGCACGGCCCTGAGTATCTCGGGGCAAATCCCAGACTCCTCCCAGTTCCTAGCAGGATTCGGGAACCTCGACCCCTTGTAGGAAATGTTATAGTCCTCTCGAAAGATCCTCCAGTCCCTCGACGTCATCTCGTGTATCTCCTTCTCGGACCAGTGCCTGTCCACCGGCATGTCGTCGAAAGGATCATAGCTCGATTTCAGTGATTTGGGTTCGATCTGTCCTTTGGATTCCCGGTCGATCTTTGCCGACTGCTTCTTTTGCTCTCGTCGATCCATGCCGGCATAGAAACCCCGTCCAAAGAGAAGCTGGCCGTGGCATATAGGAATCATGTCCTGGGACGTGTCCTCGGTGTTCTCCCAGTCGAACTTGCCGCGCTGCTTGACAATCACTCTCTTGGCTTTCTTACTCCCGTCCTGGATCGCTGCCAGAGCTTTCATCGATTGCTTGTCCAGCTGCTCGCGCTCTTTGCTATTCGGCACAAGCTCTTCCTGCTGCTGCTGCTGCTGCTGCTCATCGCGCCTCTCCCACTTCTCACCAGGATTGGGACTCCTTTGCTTCCACTTTCCAAATGCTCTACTGGAAGAATTGTGCCTGCCGGGCTCATTGTCACGGGATGGGCTGCGTGAAGAATGCCTGCTCCTCCCCCTCCTGTCCGGGCTGCGGCTCCTCTCCCTGCTGCTCCTCTCCCGATCTCGACCCCTATCTCGGCTATCTCTGTCTCTATCTCTATCGCGATCTCTATCGCGGTTGTGGTGATGGGAGTACTTACGATGCTTAGAATCCTCGTCCCTGTCGCCGCCGCCGCCGCCGCGATCCGGGCTACTGCTGCGATGGCGCTTACCGTCCCGCGCCATGGACGCTCGCTCCGCCCAAACCCTTGTTAGGGCTAACTACAATTTTCTTTCCATATTCAGGGCATATTCGTACATTGTACAGGGCATATTCCACGCCCGGAGAATTTTCTCTGAAAAGAGGATGTGTTCTACTCGCTCTCCGAGTCCGAGATGGCGGTTTTCTTGCGCTTGGCTCCTCGATCGCTTTCGTTGTCACTCTCCGGCTCTTCGATGGGTTGAGACGGGCGGTCCGTCGCTTCGTCGTCGGATTCTTCCGAGCGAGCGCGCTTGAGACGAGATTTGCCACTCTTCTTCACCTGGAGCAAGAGCAATGAGAGAAGATCCCTGGAGGAATAAAACGGGAGCTACTTACCGGTTCTTCCTCCTCTTCCTCCGACGCTACCGGAGCTTCCGCTTCCGCCTCCTCCTCCTCGGGCTCTGGTTGCGTGCCTTCCTCGGCCTCCACTTCCTCCTCCTCGGCCTGCTCGTTCCGCTGCTTCTTCTTCCTCTTCTTCTTCTCCTTCCTTCGCGATTTCCTCTCGTTGCCTTCGTCATCGAGGTTGTACTTCCACGTTTCCTGGAAAGCACTGCATTTAGTTTCGAAAGCGCGGAAGTGCTTGCTCACCTTCACGCGCTGGAAGTGTAGCTCTTGTTCCATGACTCTGCGATGCTCTTCTTCTCGCTTTCGTTTCTCAATCTGGAACCATTCAAACCATAAGAGAGAATACGGAGAAGCAACTCGAAGCCGCCAACCTGGAGTTTTCGCTCTTCATCGGCTTTCCTTTGAGCTTCTTGAGCCATTGCAAGCTGCCGAGCCACTTCTTGCTTTTGCCGGTTTTGTTGCTCTTCCCGCTCAGCAGCCTCAAGATGGAGCTTTGCAGCATCTAGCAGATGCTTGCAGTAGTCGACATGCATTCCGATCTTCTTCTCATCGAATCCGTGCATGTGATGAGAACTTATCAGTGATAGCTGGGTGAAGAGACGAACTGCATTTTTCACTTCTGCTACGGATTGACGAACCTAGAGGTACAAATAAAACTCCGCCATGCGTGAAAAGAAAAAAAAAGCAAACATACCTCATCGGCAGTGCGTTTCTGTTTTTGAAGTGTTGCAGTAGAGAACTTTTGCATAGTGATTGCAGCATCGAACCGGAGCATGTAATTCGACGGTGCCATATGAATAGCATGCATAAGTACGCGTTTGCATTCTTGCCATTGCTCCGCTTCATAATGCGTGCGCGCCAGATAAAGCAAGATGTTCGTTTCGGTGTTAAAGTAGAACCTTCGTAGACAATTCTGATACTGTAACGGATGAAAATAAAATCAGAAATGCTGGCAATAGTAATTTGAGAAGTACAACCATTTTTACTGCCAAGCCGAAATGACCCTGAGCAAGATATACATGCGCAAGATTTACCCAGACATCAGGCATCTCCACAGCAACGTTACCAGAAGCTGCTTCTTGCACCTGGGTTTGGAGCCTCAGAAACTAATGAGTACGAATCAATATGCACCTGAGTGAAGATATCCTTGGCAATGTCGAACATTCCTTTCTCGGAGAAAACTATTCCTAGTCCGTTTGCTGCGTACATGTTGTTGGACTTTTGCGTCAAAACCTGCAGATGCGACGTGGTCAGAGTACCCGCACTCACAGTCCAATATTCTACTTGCCTTTTGATACAATTCTCTAGCTTTTTCCAGGTGTGTGGCTTCCAACTTAGGATCCCGCTTTTCACTACGAGTTGCTGCGAAATAATTCCAGTTTCCCTGTATTGAATACGTTAATATCAACGTGCATCTGGCACAACGTTAAAATTACCAGCGCCAGGTTCGAAAAACTATCTTTCCCGTCTGAGACACTCTGTATTCCCTTCAGAGTATCCTTAGCTTTGAGCCATTCGTCTGCTTTCAGCTCAAGGCTTCCTCGAAAAGATAGAATATCCACATCATTGTCGTCTTCTTTAAGCCCTTTCTGTACCTGTTATAGAACAACTATATGGTGAAAAGAAAAAAGAAAAACCGCATGCTTACCAATTCCATGCTGAGACTCAAGTTATTTCTTGCTTCAGCCATGGCTGCAAGACGCAAGTAAGCATCCACGTAACTCGGATGCTTAAAAGAGGAGGAAGTCAGTAAGATAATTGATAAGTCTTAACCACTTTACCTTGAAAAGAATAAGCTGATACAATAAATTTGCTTTTTCCGTCTCGTGCAACTGCTCAAATAAGCGTGCCAAGTTGAAGAGAACAGTTACTTTTTCAGCTGGTATGTCTAGCGAGGTTCCTTGCTCTTCAATTCGTTGAAATACATCAAATTTTTCCAAAGGCCCGTCTCCTCCGGTAATGGTAGAAAAATTATTTTCATTGAATTCTTTCCATGGACCTTCACCTAATGCTTCATAATAAGCTCCTTCTGCGAGCTGCATGAAAACGAATCAGCACCAAGAAAGCACGTAGACACACAAACCTTGTATTCACCACGCTCAAAATGAAGCACGCCGATGTTGTTCAAAAGGCCAAGCGGAACTTTCTCCCCACTCTTGGTTTGCAGATTGTGTGCCTAGACCCGGAGAGGAGCGTTACTAAAATAAAGGTACGAGAATGAAACCTCACCGTCTTAAACGCATCCAAAGCTGCAGAAAAATCTGTAGATACAAGGAGCTCCCCTATTTCAATCCATGCCTGCGTTTTACAAGACTCATCAACTACAGAGATAAAACATACTTTCAACTCACATCAACATCCCGAGGGCTCACTTTGGCAGCTTTTCTGAAGCTTTCTAATGCCTTATCGTTTCTACCTTGCTGCAAGTGTATGTACCCGACGACCTACAGAGCAATCCATTAGAGGACCAGAGGAGAAAACAACATCGTACCTTCAAAGTTTCACAGTTCTCAGGATGAACGTCCAAAACCTTTTCAAAATTTGACAAGGCTGACTTCAAGTCATTTAGTTTGAGTTGGACCTGCCCCAAGCCTTGTTGAGTTCAGAAAATTATTGTACTCAGTGCCGAAACACGGAAGTGTCATTGAACTAACCATAATAAGGAAGTATAAAATCCTTTGGAGACTTCAGCTCCTGCACGGAGGCCCTGTAGTAGGCGGCAGCTTTGTCGTAATCTCCCTAAGATAATGTCAAAAACAAGGCGAGACACACAGGCAATACTCACCTTACTGTGATACGATCGAGCCAAATTAAAATAGGACTGCGATTTTATGAGCGCATTGTCAGTTGACGCCAAAGCGGTTTCCATCAGCTGCTCAACAACACCGTGTTGCTCCGTATAAAAATAATGATTTGCAAGGTGATTGAGAGCCGTTGCGCAATACGGATATATCTCAAAAGCCTCGAGCATTTTCTTTGTGCCTTCCTGAACAGACTCCGCTGTAATGTGTTTTTAGTCGACCAGAAACGGAAAATCAAGAACCTCAAAAGTACCATCGTTAGCGTTGATATCCATAATTCCCAGCGCGACAAGGGCATCTAAATTCTCAGGGTCCAGCTAGATCAAACGAAGTTAGGACACCCGCAACCGAAAATGACGAAAAATACCTGAAGAACCCTTTGGAAAGCCTGGCGTGCCTTGCTCAGCTGTCCCAAGCGGTAACGGCAAAAACCGAGGCCAAGCCTGACAGATGCGGGACAACCCGGATGCATCTGTAATACTCTCTGCGAGAAAGAAGTTCCTTTCAGAATACGATCAAAATGAAAGAGATTGCACCTTATACAGTCCCAGCGATTCTTGGAAACGTCCACGGTTAAATTGCGCACAGGCCTGCCAGCTTACTTTCAAGCTCGAGGACACAGGGACATCAAGAGCTTACTTGGCCAAGCAACGCTAGGAGGTTATCAGGCCGCACATCCAGCACGATCTTAAAAACGTCAAACATCTGCTCGTAGTCCCCCTTTGCAAGGAGCAGCTGACCTGAAATGAACGAAGTAACATTACGACGACATCAGAAAGAAACGTTTGGTTTTTTCTTCTCATCTACCTTTTCCGGCCCATGTCGTGGGCTCGTCATAGTCGATTCTAGTGGCTTTGTTGTAGTAGTGTGTAGCGCGAATAAAGTGCTCATCGCGCTGCTTAAATTCTATCTTCCCAAGGTTCGTGTAGTAAGCACCTAGCGCATTTAGAATGGCTATTCGATCGTACTTCACATCGCTATAGTACTCATCGATCTCTTCAAAGAAGAACAAGAAAAAAGTGAGAACAAGAACAGGAAAAAAAAACTATTCGATCCATTTACCAATGCTTCTCCTACAAAAACTTCACATACCTGGACTGGAGCCTTCTTCCAATATCTGCAGGAACTCCTTGACTTTGTCCTGTTTGAAATACTCGCGCTGCGCAAGAAAAAAAACTCATCAGCGCTCCCACATTTGCCATATGTTGCCCTGGAATCGCGAGCGCGAGCACATACCGCGAATGTGAGCCAGAGATGGAGCGGCGCTTGCTCGGCCTTGAGGATGTCGACAATGTCGGCTGGATCGCGCGGCAGCTGATCGAGCCCTACGCGCACCTCCTCTTGCGAATTCTGGACGGGGATGTAGACGCACTCCATCAGACCCCCGCTAGGGCAGGGCACCCCTTTTAAAAAACACCAAAGCCTTTAATACAGGCACACGTGGAAGCCCTTACACGTAAACGCTGACGTGGCCGCTCGAGACTATGCCATGTAGGCGTGGGGCTTGTTGGCGTTGTCGTCCCAGGGCACTTGGAGATGGTAGCGGATGATGTTTTGGGCGCCTTCCACCAGTCCCCGGACGACGCTCGCGGCGGGCAAGATCTCATCGATCAATCCCACGCCCTCGCCCGCGTACATTGCCATCTCCTCGATCTTCCCAGTCGCGGAGGAATTGGGAACTTTTCCAGAGAAGCGCTTCACCTCTTCCTTCTGCAAGAGAATGGAGGGGGCTTAGAAAGATCTTTGGTGAAGTGTGAGCTCGATCTTACTTTGCCATGGACGATTGTTTCGCCGATCGTCACCTGCCCTTGCTCGGACTCGTCGGGGCCGAGCTTGTCTCTCCACTCCAGGAAAAATGGA